AATGATTAGTGTTGGACACCCTACAGACGTCCTGGCGCTCTCGCCTCGGCGACGGCTGCATTGCCTATGACAATTAGGCTCGCGCCCACGCGTTTCGGGGGTGCGCCGAAATCGCCCCTCCAGCAACAACAACGCTCCCGCTCGACATGTCCTCCTTTTTTACTCAGGACAGGGGCTCTTGCTCGCCGCCCCGAGCCAGCTTTGCAACAACATCGGCGCTCCCGCCTCGGCGCCGCAGGCGGCGCCTCCTGCAACAAACAACGAAGCTCCTGTTTGAGACCTTCTCAGCTTTTGCTCCAGACTCCCAGAGGCCCTGAGTAGAACGACGCGAAGATCGGGACAAAATCGGATCGGGATAACTCGAAATCTCTGAGAATCGGCGGGTTTGGAGGATGTATTGGGCGCCGCGGCCGCTCCAGAGCGTTCCGGAACGCTCTGAGAGCGCTCCGGAACGCTCTGGAGCGATTTATCCCGATCCTAGCCCTGTTTTACTGAGGCTTTCCTAGTCCATGTTGAACCGTAATCTTTACACAGTTGTTTTTGTGGGACACCCTACGTCCTCACTGGCGCCTCGGCGCTGGCTGCATTCCCTTTGAAAATTAGGCTCACGCTCAGGCGTTTCGTGGGTTGCGCCGAAACCGTCCCCCCAACAACAGCAACAACAACAACAGCAATAACAACAACACCAGCAACAACAGCAGCAGCAACAACAACAACAATAACACCAGCAACAACAGCAATAACACGAGCAACAACACCAACAATAACAGCAACAGCAACGCTCCCGCTCGACATTTCCTCCTTTTCAGCTCAGAACCAGAGCTCTTGCTCGCCGCCGAAAGCCAGTTTTCTAACAAAGCTGGCGCTCCCGCTCGATATGTCCTTGCTTTTTACTCAGGACTGGCGCTCCCGCTTCGGCAAGCGGCGCGCCCTGCAAACAACGACGCTCCCGTTCGATACCTTCTCGGCTTTCACTCGAGACTCCCAGAGGCCCTGGGGCTTCCCTAGTCCCTAGTGCCGATCCTCAAGAATGCAGCATGCACCGTCGGAGGTCTGCACCGGTGCCTGCCTGGCGCGCTCCGCGTGCAAGGGGCGGCCCACGAGCCCTCGGCGGCGACCGGCGACCCCGTCGTTCTCGTCGTCGTTCTCGTCGTCGTCGTCGTCCTCCGCCTCCTCCTCCTCCTCCTCCTCCTCCTCCTCCTCCCCTCTCGTTTTTCCTCCTCCCTCCTCCTCCTCCTCCTTCTCCTCCTGCTCCCTTCTCTTCTTTTTGCCCGAGGCTCAGAAGCTCCTCCGACCCAAGCCTTTTCCAAAAATGCCTTGAGGCCTCTTTCAAGATGGCCCGAAATCTTCCAGTTCAGTTTTAAAGCGTCTCCCACGGGCCCTCATGCTTCCCACGGGGTTTCTGAAGCTTCTCTGAAGGTCTCTGGGGGCTCTCCAACGGGCTCCTGGGGTTGTTCAGGGGGCTCGCCTCTCCCAGAGGTTTTTACTTAGAAGCAAGGCATGGGCAGGGCGATTGCGAAGGCGACGTGCCATTCGGGCGGGAGATCAGGGTAAGGGATTATCGGACCCCCTGTGCAAGAACTTACCTCCCATGAGAGGGGGAGCTATCATGATGGATGCATGCTGAATATAGAATCATCTAGCACTCGGGATCAAATGATTGCTGCTGCTCTTATTGATGATGTTGATGACGATGATGAGGATGATGAAGATGACGATGACGATGACACGATGGCGATGATATTTGCGTGGCTGAGGACGACGACGATGTTGACGTTGATGTTGTCGTTGTCGCAGTTGTTGTTGCTGTTGTTGTTGCTGCTGCTGTTGTTGTCGTCGTCGTTGTTGTTGTCGTTGTTGTTGTAGTTGTTATTGTTGTGGTTGTTGTGGTTGTTGTTGTTGTTGTTGTTGTTGTTGTTGTTGTTGTTGTTGTTGGTTGTTTTTGTTGCTTGTTGTTGTTGTTGTTGTTGTTGTTGTTGTTGTTGTTGTTGTGGTTGTTGTTGTTGTCGTCGTCGTCGTCGTCGTCGTCAGTGTTGTTGTTGTTGTTGTTGTTGTTGTTGTTGTTGTTGTTGTTGCTGTTGTTGTTGTTGT